CACGGAGCAGCCAGGAGCCCACCCTCCTGGGCGGGGCTACAGCCGCCCAAATCGCAGCTGTAGATCAGAGCATCCCTGTGCTCTTGACGCAGGGCTGGGAGCAGGCAAGATCTCCCCTCTTGGGTGCAGTTGCAGCCGCCCGACCAGCAGCTGCAGACCTGGGCCTCCCACTACACGGAGTAGGCAGGAGCTGGGGAGTCCCGCCCCTTCCGAGTTGGCGTGCAGGAGCTCCCTGGGTGCAGCCGCCATTGCCCTCTCACCCACAGGACCCAGGCATCTCTGTAGCCTGCACCCTCTGGGGCCTGGGAAGGCCCCCCAATCCCTGCAGGCTTGGGGTGTCTGCTCCTGCTGCCTGACCTCTCTCCTTTCCTGGAGCTGGCTCAGATCTTGGAGTGAGGTTGGGGTTGAGCCCTGGGGCCATGAATGGCAGCAGGAGGCAGGCAGATTCTTGGGCGGAAGGGGGCAGGTCCCCAGAAAGGCCCTACCTTCAGTCCAGGGAGGGCCTGAAGGCTGGGGGCCAGCTGCCCATCCTGCAGACCAGTGTGGAGACTCATGGGGCCTCTTCCAGCAGCCCATGGCTACCCACGGACCAATCAGCATGCACTTCCTCTCCTCAGGTCCATAAAAGCCCTAGGCTCAGCCAGAGCAGGGCAGAAGCTGGCCAGAGGATGAAGAGGGTGGAGGCATTATGTAAGGACCAGCTGCAGAAAGGAGCTACCCTCTCTGCTGAGAGCTTCAGCGACAACCTGTGGGCAGAGAGGAGCCACCTTCTCCAGGGCCTGCTCTCCACTGAGAGCTGCAAACAACGGGACAACCAGTAGCAGAGAGGGGCTACCCTCTTCAGGGCCTCCTCTCTAATGAGAACTGAACACTGGACAGATGATCTTCCTACAGAGAGGAGCTACCCACTGTGGGTCTCCTCTGAGCTCTTGTAACACTTAATAAAGCTCATCTTCATCTTGTTCACCCTTCACTTGTTTGTGTACCTTATTCTTCCTGGATGCAGAACAAGAATTTGGGCAAAGGTGCTGTGGTCACAAAGGTTTCTGGCCAGGAAATTGACATCCCAAAGCTCCCTGACAATAACATGATCAAATGTAGTTTATTGAGGGAATGAAACACTTGAAGAACAATCACTGTAATACACCACATCAATAAATTAGAAGAAAAACCATATGCTCATCTTCATAGATATAGAAAAAGCATTTGACAAAATGCAGCAGTCACTCATGATAAAAAGTCTAAGCAAATTAGAAATTAAACTTTCTTAACTTGCTAAAGGGCATCTTTTAAAAATCTACAGCTAACTTCCTAATTGTTGAAATACCCAATGTTTTCCCTCATAAATAGGAAATAAATCAAGGATTTCTGCTTTTGCCACTCCAACTCAATATTGTAGTGGCGGTCTTAGCCAGTGCAATAACACTAGAACAGAAAAGCCATACAGATTAGAAAGGAAGAAATAAAACTGTGTCTATTTGCAGTTTCACACAGAGATTTCAAATAGAATTAGTACCTATATATATTCATTAAATACTTCTCAATGTTGATAGTTATTAGTTAAGATTGTTGAGTTTATTAATATTTCACAAGAATAATAGAAGTCATAAGATATATTTTTAAAATAGTTTATAAATCAGAAAGTTAACAAATTCTTACGGCTTTTCTCTGAATTCTTTGTTTTGGTTACCTTTTCTTCTGAAAACTCTCTCATGACCTCTGCTGTCCATTTTTTGAACATAAATCATTTAATAAAATATTAATTGACATTTACATCTAGATGGTAAGAAATCCTCTGCCCATCTGATTATTTGAGCCAGTTTTAGGAAACAATATATGCGAAGAAATGCTTTAAAATTGTTTTCTTATATAAATGTAATATATTTTCACTATTGATAACACACAAAAAATTGCAGTAACCACTCATCATATCACTGCTTAAAGATAACCACTGTTATCAATTAGTATATATCCCTCTGGAATTGTTTCTGTAAAGTATAATTCTATGTTAAATTTATTATTATTATTACACAATTGGGATCATACTGTACATGCAATTTTGTATCTATTCTTGTCACTTTATATATAGAATATTTCCCATATCAAGATATAATGTTTAAATTGTTGCATAATATATCAGATATATAATAATTCATGTAATACTCTCTTATTTGGGAGCATTTAACTTTTTTTTTGAGACAGTTTCACTCTTGCTGCCCAGGTTGGAGTGCAGTGGTGTGATCGTGGCTCACTGCAACCTCCACCTCCTGCGTTCAAGCAATTCTCCTGTCTCAGCCTCCTGAGTAACTGGGATTACAGGCACCCGTCACCATGCCCAGCAAATTTTTTTAATTTTTAGTAGAGACAGAGTTTCACCATGTTGGCCAGGCTGGTCTCGAACTCCTGACCTCAGGTGATCCACCCGTCTCAGCCTCCCAAAGTGCTGAAATTACAGGTATGAGCCACTGCACCTGGCCAGGGAGCATTTAAATTGATGCAATTATTTTCTCTTACAAGTAACCCTATAAAATGTAATTTCTTGAGTATCCCTAATTTTATGCTTACATCCCCAAAAGTACAATTTCTGAGTCATGGAAAAAGTTTTTCATGCTTATTGCTGAATTGAACTCTAAAAATTTTGTACTAACTTAACACTCCTACCAGAAGTATATGTTCATGACCACAGAAATGACTTTTTAAAACTAAGATGTGAAAATATCTTAGAAACAAACTCTAAATAAGGAGAAAAAAGTTGTATATAATTTTCTACTTATGAGGTGAATAATTTCATTTTTTCTTCAAAGGTGTCAGGAAAATAGAAGGACATTTTGGTAGAGTGATAAAAGGGCCAGATCTTCTAATTGCTTAATCTTAATGTTTCTGAATCTGTTTCCTCATCTATAGTGTGAGGAGAATAATTTCCCACTTAATTAGTGAGGATGCAGTGAGATGATGCATGTGAACATGGTTTGACAACTATGTCATATAGATGGAAGATATAACTTTTATTAATCACTGTTGATATGTGGACAGATTTGATACTCATTATACTGTTTTTAAATGTCCATAACTTTAAATATTTTATATCAATCTTAATAATAATTTTCTCCATTTTCAACCTCATGTGATCAGAAAAGTCAATTTTCAATCAATTCTATTTGTTTTTTTTGAAAAAGTAAAATAATGATTATGCTACATAGAAAATTATAGTTCAGTTGCCAATTCCATTAACTTAGTTTGTCTCAGAAAAGGAAAAATTACCATATAAACAGAATTATCTATTAAGAATTAATATTTAATCTAAAAATGTCTAGTGCCTCTACAGAAAATTTGAGTACATTCTCAACTTCCTTAAACCAGTGCCTTTTTCAAATTTCTTTTCAAAGTTACACCTGTCAGTTTTCACTAAAAATAGTTTGAAGATTATTTTGAATAATTATAACCAATGAAACACAAAGGCAAGAATAGAACTATTGCAGTGGGCCCTTGCTGAACCTGAGCTAGCACCTATAATGAGTCAGTCCTCACTGAAGGAGGAATGAGGAGGGAAGAAGGACTAGAAAGACAGAAAAGAGGCAATGATAACTTAAGAAAACACTGAATTTTTAAAAAGATAGTGGCTGGCAGAGTACCTGAGACTTGTACCCAGGAGGGCTTTAGCCCAGTCTGTCTATCACGATTGCCCCAGGAATTCTAGTCATTGTACTTGGGTAAGAGCTTCAATTTTTTAAGGCACTTGCATTTTATGAAATGTTAGTGTTTGCAGATGTCTTGGCTAAATAATTTAGGGAATAAATTTTAGGAGGAAGTAGCGGCACAGAGGGGGAGAGAGAAACCAGGCAGGAAAGAAGAAAATAAGTCTTTCTGTTCCCATTACTTTACTTCCCATAGAATTATACAAGGTAAACACACACACACACACACACAAACACACACACACACACACACACACACACACACCCCTTGTAGGGTCATTGAGAACCATCTTTCTTCATTTTAAAACTAAAGAAACAGGTCTAGGTGACACAGATGAAGCAGTGGCAGAGCCAGGAAAATAATCTGACCCTTGTCCCTGTTCTTTCCACCGCACCATGGTAACTCCCTTTTTTGTGTCTTTTTTTTGTTTTGTTTTTAAACACTCTAAAACTGAGGATCATTTGTAGTCAAAGAGATCAATGCTATTCTCAAAACAAGTTCTGATCTTTCATAATTTTCTTGGTAACTCAGAATCAATGTTAAGTACGTTGAAATAAAAACGCAGTACTTTACACGGTAATTTTGTAGACTGTGCACCACGTTCCCATCCAAGGATTTTCTTACTTGATCCTTACAAAAACCCTTTGAGGCAAGGCAAGGCAAGTATTATTATCTTCATTTTTAAAGTGAGCAAATTAAAACCCAAAGAGTAGGGTCACTGAGGGTCAGGAAGCAGCCGGTACTCTATTCCTATATTTGAAATATAGGAGGGAATACACTTCCAAAGAGGCAATTCCCTCAAAAAGCACCAAGAGTAAAGGCTCTTTACTCTCTTGCCAAGGCATTCTCTATCCCCTGGAGACGCCTGCACTAGGTTAGTGAAGCATGGGTCTTGACACCCACAGAGGTTACTCCTAGTTTGCACCTAGTTGTCATCTTAAAAAGCGCAGTTTCTTACCCCTTCCCTTGGTCCTGATCCTTATTTTAGGCTCTTTGGGATTTGGCCTCCTGGGTCTCACTTCGAAGCTCCACCCTCGCCAAACAAGAAGTCGCGTCCTTGGTATCCAAGGTGACCGCGCAGCTTTACCCACGTTGCCCCTTTCGTGCTTTCCATTGGCCAGTTGGACTCCTATGTACCGCCCCTCCAATAGCCAATGGTCTTGAGGCAAAGGGCGCCCGCCTTTCCCAGGGAGTCTAACACATGCCCTTTTACCCGGGCTCCCCTGCGCATTGCCTCCTGGGATATGTGGTTTCTAAGATGCCAGAGCTCTGCGATGTTCCACCCCTTTACAACTACCTATCCCGTCCGCCTTAGCGAAAGGGGCGGGCGTAGGCTAGGAGTCCAGGTCAGAGTTTAGAGCTTTCAAATTGCAACTTGCCTCTGGGGCTTGCGTGGCTGATGTTTAAATCGCCTAGTCAAGCGAACCGGCTCCCTCTTGCTTCAGCAAACCCTGACAGACGTCTCCTATTTGACTTGAGGCGGCATAGTGGCCAAGTCGATTGGCCGTGGCAAGTGACCCTCCCTGTAGCTGAAGTGTTCTAAGGACTGGAGAGAGGGGCGCGCCATGCTTGCCCCCTGCTCAGGTTGGGAGCTTGGCTGCCTCCGTCTCTGTCTCCGTCAGGTCCGATTGTGGGCTGGCACTGGGCGCTGGGCTTCCTGGGCTTGCCAAGCCAGGCCGTACGGCTCAGGTCGGGGCAAGCGCTGGCCCGGATCGGAGGCTGAGGTCCCTCCGCCTAGCCCGGCGCGCCGGACTCTGAAGGAGTGGACGCTGCAGGTGAGCCCGTTCGGTCGGCTGCGGGCGCGGCTCCCGTGCCACCTGGCCGTGAGGCCCTTGGACCCCCTCACCTACCCGGATGGCGACCGCGTGCTGGTCGCGGCGTGTGGCGTGGAGGGCAGCGCGCAGGGCCTGGACGGCCTGCAGGTGAAGTACGACGAGGCTCTGGAGGAGATGGCCATTTTGTCTGACACTGTCGACCCCCAGGCGTTCGTGGAGGTGAACGCGCCCCTGAAGTTTGGCAAGTGAAATGAAGTGAAAACGGGTTTGGGTCCCAGGGCACGCACAGTGAACTTACTAAATTTGGTCGACTTGCACTTTTAATTGGTCCTGGCTTTCTAAACCTAATTTACAGTTGGCACCTTCGGAAATGCACCTTTTCGTCTGTTCTATTCTTGAGTATCCGAGTAGTATTTAAAAATTAGGTTGCCTAACTAAAATTTTGTTATAGAAATTTTATACATCGAATGGAAACATGATTTGGTATAATCCAGGTCAAATTATATTTCTGGAGCCGCTTGTGTTCTCCTTTATCCCGTTGTCATTAGCAAACTGGCTTATTTTTCAAGGTTGAAGTTTCTTGACAATTCATTCAATGGTATGGCAGTCCATCTACATTTCCCCTTACTCACAGCCTGGGGGTGTGTCCCAAAACAGCCCTGTCAATAGGATGTTCCGTTTATCACCTGGTTTGAGTATTTGGTTTGAGACAGGCGCCCAGCTTCTTACTGTTATGTTTCCATTCTTTTTGGCCTAAGTTTTCCATGAGTAGCAAGCTTTGAAGAAAAACACATAGTAAGCCTGCCTAGGAAACTTCAATAATAATGCCTGCAAAATAACGTTTCCTAGGTTTTTGGGTTCTGCGTTATTTCCTAAATGGCAAGCCACTGTGTACACACACTTTTCTAGGAAGGGCTCCCCAGACTGTCATTCTTCCTGCAACTGAAGGAAGATATTGATGATGATGATAATAATAATAGCATTTAGCGTTTTTAAGATCATCTTTTATAATGCTTACAGTTGCACCAAATAGCAGATGCTGTAGTCCTCCCTTATCCACCGTTTGGCTTTCTCAGTTTGTTACCTGTCTCAACTGTTGTAGGAAAATATTAAGATATTTTGGCAGATCACAGTAATATAACTTATTACAGTATATTGTTATAATTGCTCTATTATTGTTGTTCATCTCTTACTATGCCTAGTTTATAAATTAAACTTGGTCATTGATATGTATATAGGAAAAAACATAGAATATATAGGATTTGGTACTATCTGTGGTTTCAGGAATCCAGTGGGGCGGGTGTGGGTCTTGTCTACTTTAAGAGAAATCATCAATATTTATGTTAATTCCAAATTAAATATCAGTGTTTTTAATTTTTAAAATTTGTATACAGAGATGCCTGCAGTTACATCTTAAATAGACAGCCAAGGATGGCATTTGTGATTCCTTATTTTCCAAACTTTCTTCATATACCACTGCCATTTGTCCACAATCTTGTGGGGGTTTGTTTTTGAGACTGCATCTCACTCACTCTTTCACGCAGGCTGGAGTACAGGGGCACAATCATGGCCCACTGCAGTCTCGACTTCACGGTTTTAAGTGACCTTCTCACCTCCGCCTCTTGAGTAGCTGGGACTACGGTGTATGCTACCATGCCCAGCTAATATTTTTATTTTTTGGTAGAAATGGAGTTTTGCCACATTGCCCAGGCTGGTCTTGAACTCCTGGGCTTCAGGTAATCTTCCTTCCTTGGCCTCCCAAAGTGCTAGTATTACAGGCATGAACCACTGCTCATGGCCTGATCTTGTAGTTTTAATAGTATATATTAGGTTTTTCAAAGTTGTTCCCATTTTTAAAAAATTACTTCAAATACCTTGTGATATAGCTGCATGATAATATTTTCATTTTCTAGGTATGAAAGGTTAGACATAGGATTTGAAAACCTAAGTCATGATCATATATACTGGGGAAGAGGCTTCTACAGTCTTTCACAGGAGTACTTACCAGAATTGCAGTCTCCTTTACTTCCCATCTATGTTAGTTCTCTTTAGATGATTTAGGCCAGTAGAAATAACTGCTCTGTTTCTAAAAACTGGCAGAAAGGCTATTGTATTTGGTCCCGTTGCCATGATAGAAGACCCCTTACCTTTAGAGTATGCCCTTTCCAGGATTCGGCAATATTATGGACATAACTGAGGAGTTGGATTTCTGGGGGTACTAAAATGCTTTGGAGCTTATAAATTGCAGTACTAACGTGCTTTCTTCTTTTTTTACTTCTAGGTTTAGATATCAAGTCATCAGGGTCTGGCTGTGTAAAAGTTCAAAGTATTGAGTGTGATAATTGCAAAATTGAAACAGAGCATGGGACTAGCGTCTTGCAGTCTGTTAAGGTATAGCATTTTTCTAATTTTATTTCACTGTTATTTTTTTAAAACCCTTAAGCTATGAATCGTACTATCAAACTCAAGAGATTCTTCTATTTTTCAGAACATTGTCATTTATTCATCTCTCAGAAAGTCCTTGGCAAACATTTTGTCTTGAAATCAGTTCTAGTAAAGCACAGAGGTTATAGCAGTTTTGAGGTTTTGCCTCAAATTTCTTTTTCATTTAATTTCAAAGTGTACAGTGATACTAATAGTATTTTCCTAGTATTCTGAAATCTTACTAAAGAAATTTTAGTTTCCATGAATGATTTTCTTCTATTTTATTAAAGAGTAAGGCAGAATCTTTATGCACTATAAATGTGCTTAAATATTAGATTACTTTAATCACATTTTTAATGTACTAGGTAGCTCATTACTTAAGGATTAAGTAGTTATTTGTGCAAAGTAACATATGATTCATCTTGTTTTGTAATTAACTTTTTTTTTTTTTTGAGACGGAGTCTTACTCCATTGCCAGGCTGGAGTGCAGTGGTGCAATCTTGGCTCACTGCAACCTCTGACTCCCTGGTACAAGCAATTCTCCTGCCTCAGCCTCCTGAGTAGCTGGGATTACAGGCATGCGCCACCATACTCAGTTAAGTTTTGTATATTTAGTAGAGATGGGGTTTCACCATGTTGGCCAGGATGGTCTTGATCTCCTGACCTCGTGATCCGCCCGCCTCAGCCTCTCAAAGTGCTGGGATTACAGGCATGAGCCACTGCGTCTGGCTGTAATTAATTTTTTTTATTTTTTTATTTTTTTTGAGACAGGGTCTCACTCTGTCACCCAGGCTGGAATGCAGTGTGTGATCTTGGCTCACTGTAACCTCAACCCCCTAGGCTCAAGCGATCTTCCCACCTCAGCCTCCCAGGTAGCTGAGACCACAGGTGGGCGCCACTATGCCTGCCTAATTTTTTTTAAATGTTTTTTTGTAGAGACAGGCTCTCACTGTATTGCCCAGGCTGGTCTTGAACTCATGGACTCAAGTGATCCTCCTGCCCTGGGCTCATAAAGTGCTGGGATTACAGGTGTGAGTCACCATGCCTGACCTATATTTAATTTTTTAAAACTTAGACTGGTGTCAGTTGTAAATAGTTTGAAATACCTCTCTGATAGGTACTAGCTTATCGTTACTCTTAGTGCTTCTTGCATTTGCATAGTCAAAACTTGATACTTTTGTGAACTTTGAAAGCATGCAGTTTTGTTGAAGTCAGTCATCTTTGCTTCATAATTGCAAAATATTTTCATTTTTAGATTTCTAAACACTAGTTAGAATTAATAATTTGATGCATTTTTAATTTTTACATTTTTTTCTTTCATCCACCTTTATTTGCGTATCTGCCATCAGCATCTGTCCACATGTGAATCATTTCAAATAAATTTAGTGGCACAAATATCATAAAAGATTCACATTACCATCACAAGTCCTTTTAGCACAATGAGTTGGTTCAGATTCTTGTTGTAAAACTTGTGCAATAAGGTCTTCATGTTGAATGACTAACTGGGTGAGGATATCATAATTCTTTTTTGTCCTTAGAAATATTTTGTTCAGTCGTTGATACTTAAGTTTCAGAAAACTAATCTAGACTTGTCCTCTGAAGACTCAAGAGTTTGAGATTTCCAATTTTACGATCAAAATTAGAATCTAGTATACTGCTGTCTCTGCATTTATGTTTTGATTAATCTGATAGTTCTGAAAGATCTTTCTCTGTTGATTTTCTTCTTTTATGCCATTGTAGGCATAAAATTAGAAATGGTTTCTTAGCCTTGGCACTATAAACTTTTTCAGCCAGGTAATTCTTTGTTGTGGGGGCCTGTCCTGTGCAGTATAGGATGTTTAGCACCATCTTTGGCCTCTACCTTTTAGATGCCAGTAGCATGCTCCTCAGTTGTGACAAGGGAAAATGTCTCCAGACATTGCCAAATGTCTTCTGGAGATAAAATCATCTCCAGTTGAGAATGATTGCTTTATGCAAGTCCATCATTCTTCTGTTTTCTTATTATTTTAGTGTTTTTAAAAAACATATTTGGGAATAATTTATGAATAATGATGAAATAACTCCTAGGATGATGAATTAGCAAAAAAATAAAATAAATGAAATAAAAAATAAGAACACTATTATCCCATAATGTATTTTAGATTTATAAGAGTCCAGTGGACCGATAATGGTAATTACAGGTTAGAATGAGTTTTGTTCTATTTTTTTAAAAGTAAGTACATTTTCTATTTGTTCTTGAAAAACCTCCCAAGAAATAACAGAAATCATAAAATATCAGTTCTTACAAATAAAATAGCTCAAAACAAGAAATTCATGAAAAATTAGGCTTGTGGATACTAATAATATACCAAGGGTTAAGAGAATTATCATTGAGATCATAGGATTTAACTAACTTCAATTCACAAATGAGAACACTTTGGTAAAATATCTGGTTTAAGTTTTAAGTATCATACAATATCATTACCTTGAATTAGTGATCACCTGTTAATATGTTTCTCTTTCATTAACTTAAGGACTTGAAATATAGTTGATCTACCTAATAAAAAAAATTTTTTTTTTGAGATAGAGTCTCCCTCTGTTGCCCAGACTGGAGTGCAATGGCACGATCTCAGCTCACTGCAACCTCCGCCTCCTGGGTTCCAGTGATTATCCCAGCCACAGCCTCCCGAGTGGCTGGGATTACAGGCACCTGCCATCATGCTCGGCTAATTTTGGCCAGGCATGTTGGCCAGGGTTAGTCTTGAACTCCTGTCCTCACATGATCTGCCCACCTTGGCCTCCCAAAGTTCTAGGATTACGGGTGTGAGCCACCATGCCTGGCCCTACATAATAAAATTTTTATAGCAATAATAATAACTACTGTTAATAAGTCCTTATTATGTATCAGGAATCTTAGCTAAACCTTCATTTAATGCTTGAATTTTCTCCATTTTATGAAGGAAGAAACTAGAAGGCACCAAGAGATTGAGGAACTCACTTGCGTTCACATAGATAAAAAAATTGAGCTGGGATTTGACCTTGGGTCGTTCTGATTTCCAAGCTCATGCTCTTTCCGCCTTTCTTTATTGTCCAGGCAAAACATATGGTAAGACCACATTTGTGCAGCATCCTTAAGAATAAGATAAGTGAACTTTTTAGGCAACAGACCCTTAACTAATTGAATGTCACACATTTGTAGTTTTTAAATGCAGTGTAATTTGTTTTCTAAATAATTTCTGATTTATTTAAACATTTAACTATTTGGTTTTATGTTTTTAAAAATTTTATAATCAATTTCACATTTTTTTGGGAATTACATGAGCTTTAAATTATAACAGTAGCTCTTATTATTTTTGAACCTTAGACCTCTTAGAAAATCTAATAATTATCTCCTTAAGAAAAAAATGCACATATGTATGAAGTTTTGCTTATAATTTTGTAAGTTCATGTGAGCTTGGTTAAGAGTTCTTGACTTAAAACAACAAGTGTGCTCCTCCTGTCGCCCAAGATGCCGAAAGGAAAGGAGGCCAAGGGGAAGAAGTTGGCTCTGGCCCCTGCTTTTGTGAAGAAGCAGGAGGCCAAGAAATCAGTGAATCCCCTGTTTGAGCAAAGGCCTAAGAATTTTGGCATTGGACAGGACATCCAGCCCAAAAGATACCTCACCTGCTTTGTCAAATGGCCCTGCTATATCAGGTTGCAGCGGCAGAGAGCCATCCTCTATAAGCAGATAAAAGTGCCTCCTGCGATTAACCAGTTCACCTAGGCCCTAGACGGCCAAACAGCTACTCAGCTGCTTAAGCTGGCCCACAAATACAGACCAGATACAAAGCAAGAGAAGCAGCAGAGGCTGTTGGCCAGGGCCAAGAAGAAAGTTGTGGCCAAAGGGACCTCCCCACTGAGAGACCACCTGTCTTTCGAGCAGGAGTTAACACCGTCACCACATTGGTGGATAACAAGAAAGCTCAGCTGGTGGTGATTACGCACAACATGGATCCCATCGAGCTGATTGTTTTCCTGCCCGTCCTATGTCATAAAATGGGGGCCCCTTGCTGCATTATCAAGGGGAAGGCAATACTGGGATGTCTAGTTCACAGGAAGACCTATACCATTGTTGACTTCACACAGGTTAACTCGGAAGACAAAGGAGCTTTGGTTAAGCTGGTGGAAGCTATTGGGACGAATTACAATGACAGATACAACGAGGTCCACTGTCACTGGGGCGGCAATGTCCTGGGTCCCAAGTCTGTGGCTCACATTGCCAAGCTCGAAAAGACAAAGGCGAAAGAACTTGCTACTAAACTGGGTTAAGTGTACACTGTTGAGTTTTCTGTACATAAAAGTAATTAAAAAATAAAAACAACAAGTGCTTTGGGGATAGTCTTTTCAAAGGCTTATCACATATTTGATAAGGAGTATATTAAATATAATTTGATTTCAGACTCATGTCTCTGGACATAACATAGTTAACTGTGCAATAATATAGACCTTTTTTTTTTTTTTTTTTTTTTTTTTTAAGAGACAAGGTCTTCATGTGTTGCCCAGGCCAGAGTGCAGTAGCACGATCCTAGCTCACTGAATCCTCAAACATCTGGGCTCAAGTGATCCTCCCAAATAGCTGGGAAATACAAGCATGTGCCACCATGCCTGGCTTTTTTTTTCTTATTTTTTTTTTTTTAAAGAGAAAGGTTCTTGTTATATTGCCCAGGCTGGTCTCAAACTCCTGGCCTGAAGTGATCCTCCCACTTTAGTGTCTCAAAATTCTGAGATTACAGGTATGAACCACTGCACCCCAGCCAAGATCTTTTTAAGAATGAGTAATTTTGCCCTCTTCACTAAATTTTCTGAAATTTACTCCTGGGCTATTTTACCTAAGGTTTTACTATTTTTCCTCCTAAGTAAAGCAACTAGAAGCCATATAGTTGTTTTGAGTTTTTGTCTCCCTGCTTTTTAGATATTTCTCTGCAGTTGCTGATGATAGTGGTGAGTTTCCTTTGCTATTTTTTTCCCTCTGCAGCTTCTGCTATTTACCTATTATCTCTTTATAACTGTAACAAAACTAAAGACATATATAATGATTAAGGGAAAATAAACTACTCTTAACAAAAAAAAAACAGGCTAGGCCGGGTGCAGTGGCTCATGCCGGTAATCCCAGCACTTTGGGAGACCGCGGTGGGAGGATCACGAGGTCAGGAGATTGAGACCATCCTGGCCAACATGGTGAAACCCCATCTCTACTAAAAATACAAAAAATTAGCCGAACATGGTGGTAGGTGCCTGTAGTCCCAGCTACGTGGGAGGCTGAGGCAGGAGAATCGCTTGAAGCCGTGAGGCGGAGCTTGCAGTGAGCTGAGATCACGCCACTGCACTCCAATCCGGGCAACAGAGCGAGACTCCATCTCAAAACAAAAACAAAAAACAACAAGAGACCAAACATCTAATGGCTCATATATAATATGAGTTTATTTCTTACTTGTGTCCAGGTGTGTGGGTGGGTCTTTTTCATTCAGTGATTCTAGGTTCCTTCCATCTTCCGGCTCTGCCATCTTTTAGAGCCTTGTTATTCTCTGGACCCACTTGGTGGAATGAGAAGAGCACAGAGAAGGCACAACTTGTTCTAAAAGCACCAACCTGGAAATGGCATATAGCATTTCCACTTACGTTCTGTTCGTAAGAACTTAACGACACATAAGAGGTAAAGGAAGCTGGAAAATGTGGTCTTGCCATGGGTCAAGCTATACTGTTTTACTTTGGAAAAAAATGGATTTTGGTGAGCCAATAGTAGTGTTTGCCCTAGTTTCCATGTCCAAAACCAAGTCACTGACACACACATACTTTTGTCTTCTGTCTTGCAGAATAGGCTAACTGGCTTGTGACTGCTGTTTCGTGCTCGGAGGCACTTTTACTTAGTTTCTGGGATGTGTTGCGCTAGGTTTAAGTGGGCTGTTACCCTAAGTGTATTCTGTCCTTCAGACCACTCCAGCCTTAAGCATGTTGGCTTTGGAATCGTACAGAGCTTGATTCTAATTGTTACTTTCGGTTTTGGGTTTTTTTTCTGTGTCACCCTGATAAAGTGATTTACCTTTCTGAATCTTGGTATTCTTCCTCTGTAAAATGGGGAAAATGTAATACTTCTCTCTCTGGTTTGTCATGAGGATTAAATGATAGTTCATGTGAAGTAGCTAACATGGTATCTGGTGCAGAGAAAATGCCAAGTAAGTGATAACTATTATTGTTATTAATGATGAACAGTAACAATGATTATTATTGTCATCTTCATCACTGTGGATATTTAGTTAGTTGGTCACAGTGATTTATTTAGTTAGCTGGTCACAGTGATTTTTGATTCCCAAGTCCTTCTTCAGTGAAGCTACCAGAATACCCAAGTATCTCTTGTTTTTCCCTTTGAGTCCAGGTGGCTTATTTAACCCCTTTAATAGCAGTTGACATTTTTTTCCAGTTGATGTCATTATTCGAAGCAGTGAGTTTCTATATCATTCCTTATTCTTCTTTTGTTGCTTTGTCAGTATTAATACAGAAATGTTGAAAATATTTCACTAGTGTAAGTCAAACTTACTCTCTTTTTCACTATATGTATTTTTTAATTTGTCTTTCAGGGTCAAAAATTGCATGTTCAAACAAAAGGAGGCAAAGTGATCTGTCTGGGAACAGTTTATGGAAATATAGATATTCATGCATCAGATAAAAGTGTAAGATTGCAACTTTCTTTTTTTTTTTTTTTTTTACTAATTGCAACTTTGCTTCCATTTGGCTCACCAAGTGGGTAGGTTCTATAAAGTTCGTAGCATAACATTCCCTTTTTAATGCATTTTAGTTCATAAGTAAATTCAAATTTGAAATTGAAGTGATTAAATAATATACAACTTAAGTTTTAGTTTGTGGTTTAATACTTTTGACAGTTACTTAGTTCCTAATCAATAAAAACTTAAATGCTTACTATTGAACTCTAGTTCTGAAAAGACTTTTATTTTTATGATCATAGATTAAAATAGATCATTAAGTAATATCACCAGTAACTGGATTGGATTTTTCTTGTGTTAGGTTTATTTGAGTATTTTCTAAGACCTTTTTACTTCGCCCTTAGGCAAGTTGAGGGGTGTTTCAAAACTCAGCTTTCTTCGGTATTTTCCACAAGGTGGCACCATTAGATAGCTTTACTGCTCTCAGAGCTTTTTTGTTTTTAGCAGCTATTGGGATTTTAGTTGTTATAGAAAGATAGTTTGTATTTTTTAATCAACTCCTTTTGTAGTCTTTGGTCATTTAGCATAGTATTAAGAGTAAAGGTATAATTTTGGAATTATAAATTGTCCTTTAAAATATGTGATTGATAATATATCTTTGAGAAAAAGTTTCCTTTTATTTTACATTTACACAATTTGCAAGAGTCTTTTTGTTTCCTATAAATTTGCTAAATTCCATAGTCAGCTTTATTTTCAGATAATTGGTGGAGAAGAGTTGTGAGCATATTGTGCATGTAGATTATTGTTGGCATAATTAAACAAGATAGATTATAAGAGTAATTGTTTCTGTTGTTTTATCTTCCTTCACCTTCCTGCAAATTTGCTAAATTCCATAGTCAGCTTTATTTTCAGATAATTGGTGGGGAGGAGTTATGAGCATATTTTATATGTAGATTATTATTGGCATAATTAAACAAGGTAGATTGTAACAGTAATTGTTTCTGTTGTTTTATCTTCCATCACCTTTCTCTCAGACCCCGTGGGAGGTTGTTCAAACCTAAACATTTAAAAATACTCTGTAAATTAAACTAGGAAAGTGTTGAAAGACACTGTGTGGCCTTATACTGCAGCTTTTTTGAGATGGCATTTAGTTTTACTTTTTAGATTGCTGTGGTCTTGGAGGTGCAAGAGGGAAATTAGACAAGTTTACAGCCCCTTCAAACTCAGTAAATGATGGCTAATGTTATTGAAATAAGTTACTAGAATATTGTAACATTTATAAAAAAATATAAGTATTAAAGAATTTAAAATCTTAATCATTTGCTACTTTGAATATCTTGGCTACTGTTTCCTCTCAGTTATTTATTTGTTCCAATGCTTATGGCTTATTGAATATTCATGTATTTTACTTGCTATTATACAATTTTATTTCTTGATTGAGTTTTGTTATATACTAAAGAATCAGTCTAGGTTTTTTTTCTATTTTTATTATGTATAGTATTGATTTTTAATGTATAATTCTAAGTTTGCAGTTTTTATAAAACATAAAATACTTGTGAAATCTATTAACTTTTAATATACAACTTTCATAGAAATGTGATTTGGATATTTGAGAGACAAACATAGTGAATTGGTTAAGAGCACAGAATACATTGAGAGCCAAACCACCTGTGTTTGAATTCTGGCTCCACCATTCACTAAGCTCTATAACTGGACAAATTACTTAACCTTTGTGTGTCTCAGTTTTTTGGAAAATTGGATAATAGTAATAGAACTAACTCAAAAAATCTTCTATTAAGAGGATTAAATGAGTTAATACAGGTAACGTACTTAAAACAACATCTGGCCCATAGCTAAGTCTAATGTAATGCTTACCACGATGATGAAGACAAAGGTAAAGGAATCACAGGAAAGATAACTTGACCAGTTCTAGACCTACCAGTTAGCTTCCCTGAGACTGTTTCATTATTCAGCAAACAGGATGGTGATATTTGCTTTGTCCACTTAACAAGATTGTGAGAATCAAATGAGCACTATAAATAATAGCATCATTATTCTACATGGCTGTTTTTAAATTGTATTAATTTTAGTGTCTAAGTTTAGTTTTATAACTTAACAAAGAACACAGAAACCCATTTTGTCTGACTATTTGGTGAATCGATGACATAGTTGTCAGTTTTCCTCTCAGTCTGGGCTACAAAGCCCCAGTACTTCCTTAAAACTTGGTTTTCATTATTTGTAAGAACTACGTATGTGTATTTATGTATATTCATAATAACTAAATGAAAAATTTTTCTTTTCATGTAGAAAAGAAAATTTATAGCAATACCTCTGTCAGGAAGGTACTGATTTTTAAATCTACTTTTTGTTCTGTCATTAAATAGGTAAATTTAAATTCCTTCCATTTAGTTTGGTGGAAAGCTACTGCCTTATTAGAGGTCAAGTGGAAAAGTTCTAGAAATAATAGAATATTCACTACATTAATGTACTAACAGAGAGAAATCATGATAAATCAATAGAATCAGATAAAGTATGTGCTAAAATTCAAAACCTATTCATGATTTAAATAGCAAAAACAATAAAACAAAGTTGAAATAGAAGGGAATGTCCTTAATCTGATAAAAATCATTTTAAAAATATCTATAGCAAACATCATGCTTAATGGTGAAATGTTGTAAACTTTTCTTTTGAGAACAGGAGTAAGACAAGGATGCCTGCTATCCCATTGCTTCTGCTAGCTGCTATTCACTGTTGAATTGGGGGCCTGAGACAGATGGGGTTAAGGCAAGAAAAAGAAGGAAAAAGCAGGAAAAAAAGTATTAATATAAGGATTGGAAGGGAGGAAATGAAGCCATCACTTGTAGACAGTATAGTAACACATATATAATTTTTTAAAGTACAGATAAATTATTAGGATTAGTGAGTTTAGTCAAGTTGTTGGATTAAGATCAAATACAAAGTTAATCAGGATAAAATGAAATTTTAAAAGATACCTTGTACAATAGCACTTAAAAATATGTAAAAGGAATAAATCTAATAAAAGATTAAGAATTTTATATAGGACATATAAAACATTATTAAGAGAAATTAAAGGAGACGTAAGTCAATGGGGGAATATATTGGATCTATTCCATATTCTACAGAGAATGCACTATTGCTCAGAATCTCGTAATTAGAGGTAGGGAATCACAGTCAATAAAGTGATTGTGTACTAGGTAGTAACATTTTATGTAGTTACCCGCTAATTCCACAGGTAACATTTTGGCTTTTTACCAGTCTTTGTTTTATAATGAACTGATTAGTATTTCTCTTACTAGGCTGTTACCATAGATAAACTGCAGGGAAGTTCTGTTACTATATCTACTGAAGATGGTTTGCTGAAAGCCAAGTATCTTTATACAGAATCATCATTTCTGTCTTCTGCTGCTGGGGATATTACATTAGGAAGTGTTCATGGTAAGCTAACAAAGGCATGATACATCTCACACTTTCCACATAGCATAAATTTTAAGAGATGACTCTCTGTAGTTGAAAAAGAATCAGGAAACTGGCCTTTTAAATAATGAAATGCAGACTAACCATCTTTTTAAAAAAACATAAAAATAAAATGACTCATAAAGCTAATTTAATTTTATTTGGGCAAGAGATTAAAGATTATGCTGTTATATATGGAACTAATAGTAATTTTAATTTTTAATGCATTTCTTTTTTCTTTTTTTTTTTTGAGACAGAGTCTTGCTCTGTTGCCTAGGCTGGAGTGCAGTGGCATGATACTGGCTCACTGCAACCTCTACCTTTCAAGTTCAGGTGATTCTCCCACCCTAGCCTCCCGAGAAGCTGGGACTACAGGTGTGCGCCACCACGTCCAGCTAAATTTTGTATTTTTAGTGGAGATGGGGTTTTGTCATGTTGCCCATGCTGGTCTCAAACTCCTGGGCTCAAGTGATCCACCCCCTTGGCCTCCCAAAGTGCTGGGATTACAGGTGTGAGCCACACTGCATCCAGCCTGTGTTTTCTTACAATAGGAAACAAACAGCAAGGAAATATATGCAGGAGATGAAGTAAAAGCAGTGTTAGGTAAAGATGGGTACTGAGTGATTGCTTTTATGTTAACATAAGAAAGCTGAGGGTTAAATTAATGAAACATTTGGTGGAATGTAATTATAGCAACGCTGATACTAATTTTGTTTTAAATGTTTTGTGTGCATTTGTACTGGCACCAGGTTTTCTCAGCACCCTGTTGTTTCCATTTTCTTTGATAAGTATCCTCTTGTGATTTCTAAATCCTGTCTCTGCAAGAAATATTACATAGTTAATGTTTGTATTATTGAAGGAAAATAAGAAGAGTATAATGATGAGGTAATATGGCAAAGGGCATGCGTGTGTTCAGTGTCACTCAGCCTGCTTCTTGAATTTCCACAGAGCAGATGATTCAAATCCAAATATGTTTTCTGAAATATATACAGATAGAATTAATAATCACTAATCCAGTATAAAACATCTGCTAAATGCCTTTTGGGCCATATTCCAGGAAGTACAGATTCAGACTTCCCATATATGGTACACTCATTCCACCTCTATAGTAAAGCTTGATATTGGTATCTGTATACTCTGGCAAAACCCTCAGATTTTAGTTGTGAGCAAGAGTTACAGAGTGGCATTAGAAAGCATGGTTAGTGCTAATCATGCTATGTAGCAATTTGGCAAGTAGTCTTCTAAAAAAATATTTTTAAAAAGCATACTTATATGCTTGAAATAGTTCTTGAGCCTCAATTTAATGGTTAAACCTCAAGCATTCTTACAAGGTTAAGGTAATATTTGAACCCAAAATAGCTTAAGTACATATGGAGCTGTATTCAGATGAAGCAAATGGTGTTGTTACTTATTCATTTATTTCTTTTTTATTCAGTTGTACATTAAGTAGATCTGGTAATTTGTAACTCTTCATATTTTAAAAGTGACTTTTATATAAGCATTGCATTTCTAACTATCTTAATCATAATGAAAAGTACAGTGCTTAATGTATTTAGTAGCTTTTAGTGGAGAAACAATTCCTTATCAAGTCAGATGTGGATTAACATCCCCAGGAAAAGCAGCTCTGTTCTCTGCAATGCTTTACACCATGTTAACACTAAATTCATAATGTTTCTTTCTTTGCATTCTTTTAAGTTAGATAAATTGAATTTGGTACGGTTTGTCATTAATTGCCTACATGGTAGTAAAACAGGTGGTCTTTTTTGAAGCAGTCCTCAAAGTACTCTAGGTCTGTTGATTACTTAAAGTAGCTAAAATGGAAATACATTGCTAGAAAACAAAGTTAATTCCTTAGCCTTAATAAAACCTTTTTATATTTACTGACCTTTAATATGAAATCAGATACCTTTCCTTAGCTGGTTTAAATCTAGAGCCTCTTTTGGACTATTGTTTCAGGTTGAATTTCCCTGAAAGCAGACACTCTGAAATGGAAATTTGAGCACAGCGAATTTACTAGGGAGGCCTCTTGGGACCAATGCCATGTAAAGGAAGAAAGCCAGATTTCCATGGGAGAAGCTGGACTGTGATACAGTTTCAGTAACCCACACGGAGAGCTCTGAAGCTGGGATGGTCCCTCAGAGTTGTCTCAAGTGGGGTGAGAGGAGCTGGACATTTATATCCCCAATCATTAGATGCAAGCTGCCCCGGGAAGGAGTATGATCTTGGGCCGAAGTGGCTCCTATTCCCTAGGTAATTCCCAAAGAGGGCTGACAGCTGAGGGCTGTCTGCCAGCAGTACTCCCAATAGCTAGGAAAATAAGCCCTCAGTTATGATGGGGGATCTGGATGAGGAATACAGCATCCACTACAGTTATATTTATTCATTCATTTGACACATTTATTGACCACCTACTGTGTGCCAGATTTCCAGGCACCAAGGGTGCAAAGTTGGGCAGGAAATGAAACCTGTCGTTAAAGAACTCAGAGTAGAAGGATTAAATATACTTTCTTATTTTCTCAGTCACTACCATCGCCTTTGGGATGCGACTTCCCACCTCATTTCCAGTGGTCCATTGTCACCCTGCCTCAATGCAATGAACTCTTTTAGTTGTTTCTCACAGCTTCTTTTGTAATACTAGTACAGCAATGAGAAGGAGTAGGGGAAGGGAATATTTAATCCAATTTCAAATTATGGTTACTTTCACAGAAGTAACTGTAGAAAAACTTCCATGATCAGCCTTGCTTTCTCCACCTAGTCCTTGACCCTCACTCTGCTTTGTTTTTTCAGCATATACAAGAGAGAAATAAGACAGGAAACCCCTCTTCATTCCATGGACACACCCCAGTGCATCGACTTTTAAAAAATCACTCTTCAGGCACATCTAAGTTTCTTGCCTTCCTCTCCTCTGTCACCTCTATTTCCATCCTTGTCCTAAGGGATTATTGCATGAACATGCTTTTGGAGTTTGTAGTTTGGGGTTTGGGATGGGAGCGGTACAGGAAAGTAGGCAGTGTTTTAGTGTCACGTCCTGGTGGGTGAAATTAGTCATGGCTGGTGAAAGTAAGTCCCAGTTTTCTAGCTCCTGGAATTTTTGTGGGAGTTATTTCTCCCAAGATCTTCCCAACCTAGAACTCTGGATATATATTTTAATGAATTCTTTGTTCTAAATGCTGATGGTTATATAACACAAATTAGGTATATATTTTGGCTATATTTAAATAAACTGGCTTGAGAATCTTAAAACTTGTTTTTACGGGAAAATATATTGCTATTTCTTAACATCTGACTTACAGAAAACAAACTGAGAATATATGCATTCTTGTCCAGGATTTATTTACTTTAGCTTCTTTTTTCTTATAAGCAAGGCTTAAACTAATTTTTTTCCAGATAGAGCAGGAAAAAAACCCCAACATATAGATGTTGTAAAAACCATGTACACACAAATATAATGCAGTAACTTTCTTTTTGGTAGATTTTAGAATTTGTGCCTACAAACTCTACTTGTAGAGTAGTGGGTGGGTGGGAGGTTGAAAGCAAACATGTATTGAGTGCCTAAATTGGCCAGCCCCTTTTACGTAATCAACGATTGGCTGTTTACAGATGAGGAAAACTAGACTTGGAAATGTCTAATTGTTTACTCTCAACTCCACAAGTTAATTAGTGGAATAGCAAGGATTTGATCCTAGTTTCTTGGCTTTCTAGGAGAGGTTTTTAAACAGTGAACTTGATTGCAACCCCAAATTCCATCATCACTTTGAGGGCTTCCTGGCTCACTCTAGAGATGTTTCCTCCAGGAAGACAGTACTATAACACAGATGCACTGCTTCAGCTATGTTCTACATTATAACTTCCTTGAGTTTCAGGACATTTATTGTGCTTTATGACCGAAAATGTAGATGTTCCATACAGTGTTTAGGCTTAGCTCCATGGTGGCATTCAGGAATTGGACTCCTTTCATAAAAGTGATGGTGCTGTCTTAAGTGTGTGGCTTCTAAGTCTTCCATGAAATGAAGCAAGAGCATGAAATTTATTTTTTGTCTGCATTTTCAATTTTTTTATATACCCTGATGACAAGGCAACATCTAACATACTAGTGCATAACACACTAGTGCCGAGTACTTAGAGCATGCCCGTTAATGAGGAAAAGAGTAATGAAAAGAGCAATATATCTTTCCTGGCCTTGTAAGTTGATTCCTATATTTAGAGAAGAAAATAATTTATCCTAAGTGTTTTTTCAAGTGAAATTTTTAAGTATAGCTAACTATATTTTATATGTAAGATTTTATATATTTTATATGTCAGATTTTATATGTAAGATTTTATATGTAAGATTACATATTTTACATGTAAGCTAACTATATTTTATATGTAAGAAACTGAGTAAGCTAATTGACTAGTCATATTTCCTATTTGTACATCTGGTTGAATCACATCTATTAAGTGTGTATGCCTTCTACAGAATAAACCAGTTTATTCATTGACTTATTAAATATTCACTTTCTGGCGATGGGAATCTAGTGGGAGAATAGGTCCTTGGATAGCTTGTGTTTAGATGTAAAATTTTATGACAGTTTACTAGCTTGATTTCCTTCTAAATCAAAAATTAAATTTGGTTTTATATGAATAATATTTTATTAAATTCTGATACTTGAATATTGATACTTTTTAAAGAATACTATGCATGTATAATACATGCATGTACTTATATGTACTCTACAAAATACATTTTTAAATATAAATATGGTATCCTGACTCTATTGGAGACAATGAAAAACTTCCTTGAAATGGTTTGCTAGGATTGGTTTTATTTATAACCTATAATTTAAACAAATTGATTTGATTAAGATATAAGAGTGTTCATGTTACTTGTTTTCATGCATTTTAAAAACCTATGTTATGATTTGGAATAGTGATTAATGAATAAAACTCTGTTTTAAATATTTAGATTTTCTATGTAACTTAGGCTCTATTTTAAGTTCTTT